TCTCTTAAATTTAAGAATAATTGATATTGTATACGTATTAACGAAGCGTAAAAACTTTTAACATAAAAATAATCTTTTTACCTTCTTTCTAAAATACTTCATTGATGAGTCATATAATATGAGGATTAAAGTTCGTTATGACATTATTGGTTAACCAACAATATGTTATATATTGTTGTGGGCTATCCATCAAGTCCACACTGATTGTTGATGCGTTTGGTCAACAATAAGGTAAGTCTCTCCTTTAACTCTTGAGGCGTGTTTTCGATTTGGCCATTCTCCCACTTCAACATCTTTACCGACTAAAATGAAACCAATTCCCTTAGGAAAAACCTCGATTCTCTCTCGTAGTCCCGTAGCCCAAGTTACAAGTTTACTTTGGCATACTAAACACAAGGTAAGAGTTTTTCTCTTAAATGCTGCTTTATTGTTTATTACTGAATGGGTTACTAAACCAAACTTTAAAATAGTCTACATGCTACCGGAATTTCGCATTTATTTATACATGCGCCCGTTGTTTACATGTTTGCATCTGTTATTCTACACTATTCTAGAAATTCCCCTTAATATATTGTAACGGTATAACGGCGAGTCTGTCGCTCACTCTAGCAGATATTCGCGTAACCGTTACTGGTTAAGTAAACGAAAGGGTGATTTGAGGCGTGTATATTTGACCGAGTATTTATTAATTTTCTTTTATTATTTTCTCACTGCCCTCCTTGTCTCCATACTTTTTACACGTTATTTGTATTTCTCTTTCTTTACACTTGGCTATGGCGGCTTGGGCATAGGATAATAAGCTATAGTACAATGACGAGGCTTTAAAGCTACCTTACATAATTTCTTATATCAATTTCTTTCGTCACTCGTTATTACCTATTTATTACAGCCGACTTACCATTGTCACGACGATTGGTCATGTGACTAACGTCGCGTCCCATTTCTCCCTGTTACAATATATAAATAAATTTTCGAGTTTAATTGAAATAATTATCAATTTTACGAGTTTAATTAAAATAATTGATAATTATACAAGTTATGTAACATAAATTAATTGTAATTGTTATATTTGGATTAAGAACAAGAAACAATAAGTTTTATGACAACCCATACCTCGGCTATCCTAAAATTATAAAAAAAAATCTGCATGAAGTATTGAATTTCTAAAAATTTTCGACAATGATCTCAAAATGACTAAATTAAAATAAGAAATTTTGTTGTTCCAAGCTATCTTATTGATTGGTTTTGGAATAAATATAGATATAACTTTTTCGAGTCTTCTTAGCTTCAGTCAAAGCTTTTTTTGCAGATTCTCCTATTTTGTTAAATGCTATATTTAACACCATCAGGGTGGTATTCTTGCATAGAGCCTCAGCCAGTGCTTTTCCTGCCGATTCTCCTAAACTGTTACTTTCCAAATTCAAATCAGTCAGGGTGGTATTCTTGCATAGAGCCTCAGCCAGTGCTTTTCCTGCCGATTCTCCTATACCATTCCAACTCATATTTAACTCCGTCAGGGTGGTATTCTTGCATAGAGCCTCAGCCAATTTTTTTCTTGCCGAATTATCTAACAATTTGTTTTTAAGATCCCATATCGACGCATTCCTACGATCTTGTAGCGTGTGTTGAGGATCATTAAGAATAACTTCCCAAAGTTCCAATGCCTTTACATATTCTCCTTCTTCAAAGTATGATTGAACTTTATTTCTTAAGTCCTTAAGAGTACCTAATATTAAAAATTTTAATTAATAAGCTCTTAAATCACACACTTTTATTATATATGAATTAATATGTCATGGAAAGTTATATAACAAAATTTATCTATTAAAAATAATGACCTGAATTGCTATGCGTTTTGATGGAGCTACAACTAATAGAAATATCGGAATCTTCGAATGAATTCAAACTATCATCAGTAAAAAATTCTTCTACATCGGCTTTTATTTGATGTACTGGTCGTAACTTAACCTTTTCGAGATCGTCTAGAATAGCTTCAATTGTAGGACGTTTATTTGGTTCATCCTGCCAAGCTCTAGAATAAATATTTACATAATTTAACGGAGTGCCATCAACTGGCGTTTCTCTTTTTCCTTTGATAATATCTATTACGCCAATTTTTTTATTTGGGATTTCTCCGCTCGATATCTCCCAGAAAAGCTGCCCCAAGCTGTATATATCTGAAGGTTTATCTCGTTTGTAAGTCTCATCATCATTTAAGAAGTGTGGATCACAATAATGTTTCGGCGTGCATCCAGAAATAGATGTTCCAATTTCTTGTGATTTAGATAACCCAAAGTCCGTTATCATCAATCTGCCATCATGTATTAAAACGTTTTTAGAATGCTAAAGTAATAAATTAAATATCAGTAGGGTTTTAATATAATATTAAAAATTTCCTAATAACTACTTACTAGATCTCGATGAATAATATTTGCTGCATGTATACAGTACAATCCACTCGCAATTTCTTTAGCCATTATAATTTTTCTAGGCCATTCAAGTTCATTAAAACAACCTCGTTTATGTAAATCATGAAAATAATCACGAAGATTTCCCCCATTGGCGTATTGAAATACCAAGAAGTAGGTATCTGCCTTTGGATCTAGTAGTATATAACATTTAAACGCTAAAATTTTTAAAAAATTTTTTAATTTTTCTATATATTTACCCAGAGTAATTCCCAGAAATCTTATAACATTATCACTATGATTAACAGCGCTGACATTTTGTAACTTAATAGATATATGAATAAAAATTAGTGTATAACATTAAAAAAGGCAACATGTTTTTAATACAATTACCTCGCTTACGAATAATTTATAAAATTTCGGTTCATATTTAAAGTTATTGTGCAAGCTTTTTAAGACTACTGTGTTTCTTACACTTTTTAGGTACGCCTTTTCAACCTTACCAAAGCCCCCCATTGCAATAAATTGAAACTGATTAAATAAATTATAGTCAAACGACTTAACGTATCGGTTTTTAATTGCATTAATAAACCACTCTTCTTTTTCGTCATTTGCATTTGAAAAGGACATTATTGCTTATACACCGAATACTAATATTGTCACTTTGGTAAAATGAAATACAGTATTGATTTGTATGTCAGTTAAATTCGAGGCATTAAATATGTACGGAGGGTTGCACAGAATTATGAAAAATACAGTACCGTACGGAGGGTTACACAGAATTATGAAATAAATACAGTAGCGGTCTGTTGATCAATGCACACAGATAAGAACATGGGAAATTATTTTCGAAGGTGGGCTGGTGTGATTCTAAAATATATATTTTATATGTATTGTTTAAAAGCTGGGTCCGAAAAAATCATTTTTGTCGCCTTCAAAAGTAATTACCCATATACGTAAAAGATAAAAATTTTGTTATTTATTTTTAATAAATGTAAAAGCTTCTTATGATAGTGGAAGACATGTCAGATCAAGCCCACCAAGTATCACCGTTAATGTTTTGACCCTTATTGTAAATATTATTTTTTAAATTCTTTTAGAAAGTTTATTTAAAATGGTCATTTATTTATCTATCTACGTAATTAAAACGTCTTTGACATAAATGTGAACTTTGTTGTCATCTTAAAATTTGAGAAAACATTCGGAATAAATCAAATACAGCATCTCCGTAACCGTGTTGTCATTTCTAAATCTTCTGTGTATTGTATATTGTAGTTGTTGCTCCATCTTTCTATCAATTATTTTAGATTTTTTTCCGTGAAATTCAATAAGAAAACATAAATAAAGTTTAAAAATTCGGAATGCATTCAAAATCTCCGTTACATCCATCACCCCGTAAACTGTAGAATTCCTCTGACCATTTTGATCATGTATAATTATTGCTCGAACCTACATCAATTATTTTAAATTTCTCGTTGCGAAACTCATTAATAGAACAAAAATAAAACCCAACAATTTGGAATGCATTCAAATTACTGTTAGCGTCTCACCATCTTGTCAAATCTACAGAGTGATTATTCCTGCGACCATTTTGACTGCTATTCTCTCCCTAACGTTCTATTACACATATGTAAATAGTAAAATAAACTTACCGTTTCATGTAAGGCCTTTTGAGGTTATTCATTAAAAATAACTTATTTTTTCGTATAATCTTTTCTTTTGTTTAATGTTAATTAAATTTGCCCCTAACAATATTTTGATCAAATATAATTAGTGAAATTAAAAATCCAACTCATCTATAAGGAGCCGATTCAGGGTGTCAGTTTATAATCGATTCGTTTTCAATGTAGTTTGAAAAGGTTATTCATTTTAAGATCATTTTTTCTTTATGTATTACTAATTAAATTTATCAAGAAATGTTCGAATAACGTTACTTGGCAGATAAAGTAATCTATTTTGTCTGTATTTAATTATATTTAAATTTGCATTTACTGCGACCGATCGACTTAACCCTAGTCCCAACAATCAAGGGTTGATTATGACTAGGGATGTTATTGGATTGAATAACTTGGCTTGGTTCAAAAAGCTGTAGTCAAAGCTTAAGCCAGGGTTTTATTGGCCATAACCTAAGCTAAAGATCATAGTACGGCTTGAATTGCAGCCAATATATGGCTTATACAACATTATCAATTTGATTGATAAATAACATTTCAATTTATATACAGTACTATGTATTCATATACAGTATAATGTATATTGTTGTAGGAAAAATTGGAGGCACAGTAACGTGACGCGCTATCGAAAATCAATGTGGGAAGTTATTTTAAACATGCGGTACAAGCGATTGGCGTGTAGCATGTAAACAAGCAAATGTGTATATGTAAATACAACTGGAGGAATCGCTGTCATAATCAGAGAGCAACAAGAGAAAGATCTATAAATGATAATATAGAAGAAAAAGTGAATGCACTATCAGAGATAATAAACAAAATTCCAAAACTTAGCGAAAATGCAAGATCTGGGAGTACTAAAGTAGTGTGATGCATCGATAAAACCAGTGATAAAGCCCTGATCAGACAAAACGAGTGCAAGATGGATCAATATGTGGAAGAGCTAATTAAAAACTCAACTAAGACAATTAAATTTGCACCTGGTGACAAGACGTTCAAGCCATGTTACATAATCACATCGCATCAGAGACTTCTATATGCAGTCATGGGTTTGTGACAAACTTATTAAAATAGACCCCAATGCCTTCATAAACATTTTTAGTGAAAAATGAAAACTACGAAGTGAGCTTTTCTCATTCTGGAATCTCAACAAGTTTATCCTAAGCCTCTGATGTAATTAAAGATTGAAAAGGTACAATATTAAACGAATGCATGAATAATTGACAACTACAGCATATACTTATCTATCCAGCTAAACCCAGATCTATATTCACGAATAAAAAGAAAAGAGCAAAACATAATGTTAAAAGTGTCATTTGTAACAAAGGAATCATATGACTGCAAGGAAGTTATGCCATGTGATACGTCACTACTGGAGAGCAATACTGGTGATACAAAAGAGAAGGTTGAGATGCCAGTCCAATAATTGTATCATGTTTACTTCCAAGAATAATCGTTAGCAATGATAACGAATTGGTCTTACGCATACTTTGTAAAGAAAATTAAAGGGTAGTAATGTGATGTGACATTGTGTCATGAAATCAGTGTAATTACGAGAAACTGTGAAAAATTAATGTGGTGATGCAAGTAAATAGAAAGATAATAACAAAACAATTATACAATAAAATTAAGTTTAATTAAGAAAAAATTGGTAAATAAAATTGAACCTATTATTATCATTGATCACAAGTTAAATTTATAAATTATTGAACTAAATAATCAAATTAAATAAGTTATTGAGTTAAATTAAAGGTCAAGCTAAATAAATAATTGAGTTAGATAAGTAAAATAATTAAAATATAAATATGTAAAAATACACGAATAAGTAAAAAAATATATACTGATTCAATGTATAATACTAGCTATTTGACTATTTCAATAAATAATAAAGAAATCTTTAAATTTACTAGCAATACTACTACAACACTTCAAACCACTAATAATAGTATCAGCAATAAGACATTACCTGTGTGGAAATTTATGTATAAAGAAACAAGTGTAGATGGAGTTACTATTATAGTATGCAACAATAGCAAATGTAAATAACAGTATAGCTTTAAAATATTAACAGAAAATTTGACAAATCACATTAACAAAGTTTATAATTGTAATATTACTTTAAATAAAAAATGTAAGTCTTTAATTAAAAAACTATATGGTAAAGATAATTCACGATATATAAAAAAAATGCAACAACTCAGTTATAAATTTTATTATTAGTAATCAAAACTGTTGAAAGCCCTTGGTTCTGAAAATGATAGGTATACTTTATTTAAAATATATTTTACCAATATAGATCTATATAAAAAATAGTATAATGTTTCAATTTGATATTCAAAAAATGATTATTGCAAGAAAACTGAATAACGTCAATACAAAAATTGCACTTACTGCAAATATTTGAACCTTGTACTCAAATCAAATATACAGTATATTAGTATTATTATAAATTTTATCAATAGGAAATAGGAAATAGGAAATAAACCATTTTTTTGCTGATTTAATTATTTTGAATCAAAATATATTGGAATACATATAAAAGAAAAAATTACTCAGATTTGTAATGAAATAAATAATAGCAATCATATTATTACATTAATGGCAGACAATTATTTAGCAATGGTCTTATATGGAAAATTAATAAAAAAAGAATAAAATGAATTCAAATTTGAATATTACAGATGTATAGTACATATTTTTGATATTGCAATTAACCATAGAATATAACTTTAAACTACATTAATAGAAAAGGTTAGAAATAACAAGTAATTAAGCCAAACTATACTACATGCAATTCAATTGTCTATTATATCAATTCTAACCCAATCTGTAAATATTCTTAAAAATGAAATAACAATTTATATATCAATGAAACTATTTGATATGGATCCTATATATTTCTTATATTTTAAATAAACAAAACAAACAAATGCTATCCAAACTCTTTACTTGACAAATCTATAACAATTTTTAACTTTAGCAAAAAAATTAGTGAAATATATTCTATAAACCAATAAAATTTGATATTAATTAATAATATAATTAATTTAGGCAAATATATAAAACCTTAATTCAAATCAAAATTATTTCATATGCCTAATTATATTTCTTTGAATAACAAGTTCAAAAAAATTAAAGAAGTCAAAAATACCAGACAATATAAATTCTTAAATCTGATACTGAAAAGTTAGTTAATAATCTTCTTTTAGTTCCAAACAATATACAAATTATTGTTAAACTTTCAATACTATTATCAAATTTCTCAAATACTAATCATACTATTTAAAAATAATTATAAACAAAATTAGTTTTAAGAAATATATCTTCTTTAGTTCTTTTACAAAAAAGAAAAATCTTATATTAACCTATCAAAAGAAATTTATTGAAATTAAGAAAGACTTTCCAAACAAATACAAAAAAAACAATTATCACTTTATTAATTTTGAAATCTTTAAAAATCAGTACTATAATCTGTATAATTCTATTAATTAATTGCTTTTGCATTATAGATATTAAAAATATTTCATATTATAAACTAGCCAGTCTTTTTATTTATCTTATTAACTACTTTATCAAAAACATTAACCTTTATTTTCAATTATATTTCTATTAGAAACAAACTTAAATAACAATTTATTAACTTTCTTTCTAATTTACTATTCAAACCAACTGAAATTTTCTTTCAAATTAAAGTTAAACTTCTATCAAACTTTTAATTTAAAACAATATCAATTTAATTACAACTATTTAAATATTAGGTTCTTACTAGGTTTCCGATCAGTACTATTCGGTACGGTATTTCATAAAACTGATACCAAAAATATTTTTCAGTATCGGTACTGGTAATTACCGAAAATTTTCGGTATGAAACTTTGCAATATTAATATCAAACCAAAAGTACTGAAATTATCAAAATTAAATAAGTTTATATTTTTAACATAGCATATATTTATCATGTACAAAAATAATAT